AAAAAAAAAAAAAAGAAAATATCCCAATAAATATGGAGTTACTTATTTTGCTGTGCAGAAGTTTTCTTTTCGCCCAAAATGAAGGAAAAAGGAACAGGGGGAAAAAAAACCCCAAAACAACGAAACCTGACCCAAGCCAGAAAGAAGGTGCTAGGTGCTAAAGAAGCAAATGAGTGAAATAAGTGATCAAACGTAGAATCATGGAAGGGCTCAGGCTGGAAGGGACCTCAAAGCTTATCTCATTCCACCCCTGCTGCCTTGGGCAGGGACACCTTCCACTGGAGCACGTGGCTCAAAGCCCCGTCCAGCCTCGTCCTGACAAAAAGGTTTAATAGAAATCTCAAGCTGCAAACCACATCATATAAATTATTGTATATATGTATATATATATGTGTAAAAGAGTGGCTTGTGCATATGAAAATGACTAAAACCTAGAAATGAGACGGAAATAATTCCCCTGCAGACAGCTGTATCAGAATCGGAAATGAGCTGTGCACTCCGTGTGTTCGGGAGCGGAGAAACACAAAAGGGGACAGCGAAAGGGAAAAATGAATTCTTGTATCAATTTACATGACAAATATGTGCTGATTAGTACATGGGCTGACTAAGCTGTTCCTTTTTTTTTTCCCCACACAAGATGTCACTGGGACAAAAGACTTATCAGCATCTACACGTAAAAATTAGTAGAAGCAGGAGATGGAAATATTCTTCCTCCCTGCTTATCTCCCCAGAGCCGGTGTGTGAGCTGAGCAATTAACAATTAATGTGAGAGACAGCACCCTCTGACACCAGGCAGCAAACCCAGCAGGTCCAGGCTGTGAGCTGATGGCACAGCCCCTCTGCTCTGGGACAGGCTGGCAGACCTGAGGGGGTTCACCTGGAGAAGAGAAGGCTCCAGGGAGACCTGAGAGCCCCTTCCAGGGCCTAAAGGGGCTCCAGGAGAGCTGGAGAGGGACTGGGGACAAGGGATGGAGGGACAGGCCAAGGGGGAATGGCTTGTCACTGCCAGGGGGCAGGGTTAGATGGGATATTGGGAAGAAATTACTGGCTGGGA